ATTGTCCTTTTAGTACTGTCTCATGCCATTCAAACTAAAATGATAATAGTGTAATATTACAAAGTTTAATAAAAATAATATTATTAGATTGTGATTGTGATTGGGCTGGAATTTTCCACCATTAATCAATGTGTGACAATTGAAAGTGTCCTACAGAAGGCATGACACTTTTACATACCTTACAAATTGTGATTTTGTACGCAGATTTCAGGTTCTGTTGGTCTTGTATATGAACCCTGATCTTTCGTTTTTATTTTCTATCTCTATTTGGTTCTATCTTAATTATGTCTGTGTGTGTGTGTGTGTGTGTGTGTATATATACACAAATATATATATACACACATATATATATATATATACATACATACACACACACACACACACACACAAACACACACACAGACACACACACAGACACACACACAGACACACACACAGACACTCACACAGACACTCACACAGACACTCACACAGACACTCACACACACACACACACACACACACACACACACACACACACACACACACACACACACACACACACACACACACACACACACACACACACACACACACACACACACACACACACACACACACACACACTCACAGACATACTTATGAGACTAAAACAAAGTAGATAAGTAAAGCAGGTTTGTAGCTAATTTTTTTATTGGCCAAGCCCTTTCACTTTAGATATTAAATCTGTCAAAATGATGGTCACGGCCTTCATGCTTTTTCTAATAAAAAAAAAAAGATCTCAGAATAACCTTGGCCTTGGCTATCTAAAAAAATAAAGCATCTAAACCAAAAATTCTATCAGCCCAAACTAATTTAAATATTTTAAAATATGTGGGGTAGCTAATGATGTCATTATCTTTCATTCAATACTTTAATAATAGAAGCAGCACTAACTAAACTTTCAGTTACAATCCAGCACAAATGAAACGCACACAAACAGCACTATTTAAGTAAATATGTAGCAACTGGGGTCGAGAGACCTCTAAATAATCTTATATATTTTTACAAATTATATTTTTGCAGCACAAACGAGCACAATATGTGAGCAAACAAAAGTAGCATATTTGTGCACGAACATAAATATCTGATGTTCATTTCCACGGCACAAACCAGCACAAATCTAACCAAATATTTTGGTTGTATCCAAACAAGGAAAACAGATAAAGTGTTTATTTAATGGCACAACCAACACATTTGAATGACACCTGTTTTGTGCGCTTTAGAGTGACGTCGCGGCTCCGGAAGTGTTTTGATTAGGCAATATTTAAACAATACGAACAGATAAAGCGTTTATTTTAACAGCACAAATCCAGCACTAATGAATACTGTTTTGTGCGATTTAGAGGAAATAATGGGTCACAAAGGGACGTCGCGGCTCCCGAAGTGTTTTGATTAGGCAATATATAAACAACAAACATAGATAAATTGTTTATATTAACAGCACAAATCCAGCACAAACGAAGGACACCAGTTTTGTGTAATTTAGAGGAAATAATGGGAAGGTGAGTGACGTTGTGGCTCTAGAAATGTTTTGATTAGGCAATATCTAAACAATAAACATGGATAAAGTGTTTATTTTAATGGCACAAACCAGCACAAATTCAGCTCAAATGAATGACACCTGTTTTGTGTGATTTAGACCAGTGGTTCTCAAACTGTGGTACGTGTACCACTAGTGGTACGCAGGCTTTCTTCTAGTGGTACGCGGAGGAATAAAATATGTCATGTACATGCTACATATATATTCAAAATGTATTAAAAATGATGTATATAATATACCATATGATATATAGCGTATATTTGTGAGGTAATCCGCAACGTTTTTTTTACTTTGCAGAGCTGTAGCTGCTTTACTGGGCCTACTGCGCTACTGTATTTAAATACTGCTAATTTTGGTGGTACTTGGAGAGACAATTTTTTTCTGAGGTGGTACTTGATCAAAAAACTTTGAGAACCACTGATTTAGACAACCTGGGGTGGAGAGTGACATCACGGCTTCCGAATATTTTGAAAAGGCAATATCTAAACAATAAAAATAGATACAGTGTTTATTTTAACGGCACAAACCAGTACAAATCGAGCACTAACAAATGAGACCAGTTTGGTGTGATTTAGACAACCTTGGGTGGAGAGTGACATCACGGCTCCTGAAATATTTTGCTTATATCTAAATGAGAAAAACAGATACAGTGTTCGTTTTAACAGCACAAATTGAGCACAAACGACCTGTGCCGATTTAAGTCATTTGCGCAACATGGGGTGGGAAGAGACGTCACACGGTCAAAAAAATAATGCTTAATATCTCAGACCCCGAACCAGCACAAACGTTCGTTTTTGCGACACAAATCAGCACAAATATAGCACAAATGAATGGCATAGTTTCGGGGATTATTTGTTTTTATGAGGTGCCAACTTCACAGAGGTCAGTAACGGGCTGGTCCCCATTTTGCCCTATTGTCCCTCACACTAATATAAAAGTACATCTTTTCATTGGGTGTAAAAGAAGATCTTTTTTATTATAGATGATAAGGAAAATCCTTAGCATACCACTTTAGCTCCTTTCTACATGTTTTGCAAAATATCATAATTTATTATATTATTATATTGCAGAGGAACAAATTTGAACATGAACAGTGTGTAGTTATCCTGGTTATAATATTGTTTATAACTTTTTTTTTATTATTTTGTTCAAATCTTTAGTTCACACAAAAAAGCTATTTACAAGCAAATAACTAAACATTCCCTGACAGCAGCAGTGACTCAAAAAACAACATAACAAATTACCTGTTTAAAAAGAGGCATTTGCTATATATTTGTTACTGGCATAAAACATTTGAATGAAATAAAAATATCTAATATTTAAAGGTTTGGATGTATATACTTTTAGCTAAAGAGAATGCATAAATAAATAAAATGTGACAGGCAACTATATGGTTGGATATGATTTCATTTTGTAATAAATGTTGCTTATTTAAAAAAAAAAATATCATAGGTTCTTTATCATATATTTGCTGATAATAATTAGAGATGTTTCTTGAGAATCAAATCAACATATCAGAACTTTTTTTTCTAAACAACACTAAACACTGGAAAAATGACTGCAGAAAATGCAGCTTCCAGTTTCTGTTCTCTGACCTGCGTGGCGTGTCCAGCTGGCTGTCCTCTTCTTCCGGCTCGCTGTCACACTCACATCGCAAGCTGCGTTTCCTCTTCCTGCACTCACAGCTGTGTCTGTTTCCAGCACACTGTCGCTCCACAGTCTCCTCTGGGCCCCGGGGGGACGACTGAAAGCGGCTCCCGAGTGAACCCATAATTATTCAGACTACAAAAACAGACACTGCCTATTTAGTCATTTTAGAAAACTGGTTAATAACACTGACTAAGAAAAATAAATGCACAACTGATGCATTTGAGCAAAGAACCACTACCAAAATGTATAAATCAGATGACATGCAGTAAAAGAGATCAATTTTAAGTGATTAATTTATATAATCTACAGTTAATCTGTTTAAATTATTATTGTATAATTTTTAAATGTGTCCAGTTTATTGCAGAAATATTGATGTTACATTACTGAGGTGACATTACTTTATTTACCTTTCAATTTTGAGATTTTTTTTTGTTTGAGGGGACGTAAAGAAAACATACAAAATATATTTTTAAATGTTTCTTTTGTCACACTTTATCAGTTGTTTTTGTCCTCCTGTATTAGGCCATAAATCACCACAAAGTGAAAAAAGAGATTAAAAAAAGAATCCCACATAAAAACCTCACTATGTCTTATTAAAACAATTAAAACAAGAATTTGAACTTGACTTCATACAATATTTCATTTTGGGCAAGCCAAAGCAACGCTTCATTTAATCCACCAAGCAGGGAAGTATGATAAGAACTATTCGATAGAGGTAAAGTTGGTTTTATATTCGCACATTCAGACTTTCCCCTTAATAACATAATTTCATAAAATTATTATTTGCAAACTCTAAATAGCCAAATCACATTAGCAGCCAGTGACTATCAAAGTACAACATTGTTCACAGTCAAATAAACAGTGTAAATGTTGTTTTCATGCCACACTTGCATGCTAATTCCGGTCGAATATTCAAAGTAACATGGTAAACAATATAGGGACTTTTAAATGAACGAATGTGCGAATATAAAACAAACTTTACCTCTATAACTATTCGTTTTATTTTTACCGTGTGAACCTATAGGATAGTTTTTGTTTTGTTATTTTGCCTAACGTTATATTAATGTTTCTGCATATTATTGTTTTCAAACAAGTCCTGTACACCCTAAGTCTAATGGTTTATTGCAGAAACAGTGATTTTACCCTACTAACTGACTAGATGTCGTTGAGTCAGTCTCAGTGTTATATCATCTAACGTATTCTTATTAATATAAAAAAGATGTACACTGACAGAAACAATGTACAGAACAAACAGTAGCAGACAGTATGTTGTAAACACTCACCGCACGAGTCTGTTTCTCAAAATACTGACCACACACCCTCAAATCTGTTCATCAACCGCTGTGCAAATGCATCATTAGTCGCATAATGAACACACAAACCAGATGTTAAACGCTGTACAAGGAAATCGGCTGTTAAATGTGTAATATATTGATCTGCAGTTTAAAACAAAAGCAGACACAAACAGAACCTCTCTCATCCACGTCACGGGTGCCTGTGAGTTCAGCGGGCGCTGCTGCCACCTGCTGTTGCGGAGACGCAGCAATGTGTTTGGACCATAGACTGTAAAAAATGGACCTGGTTTTTACTTTTGCTGAGAAAAAACTATTTTGCTCACCCAAAAAATATAAATTATACTACAATCTTGCTTATTGCCATACTTTTTCATACCATTCTTTTTTTCTTTCTTTGTTGTGTTCATTTAAGTGGTTATTTAAGGTTTTTCAACTTAAACTTTTAACATATTACAGATAGACATTGAAATGACGTATCCCCAAAATATAACTAATTTTACTGCCATATTAATGCCATGTTAAGTTTTTTTGTTTGTTTGTTGCATTCATTTTAGTGGTTTTCTGGTTGCTGGTAGGTCAGTAACCAGATTTTTAGGTTTTACAATCTAAAATGAATAGTCAAAGACAGATTTAATATGCTAAAACAGGCTAGCAATAAATCCCTCATCTTATAATGTTGCAGTAACTTTGAGTCTAAGCCTGTTCAATCTGGGGTGAAAGTTGGTCTATTCTTGGCTGTAAGTTTTTATTTGTTTAAAAGTTTTCATAAGACTTATCCCCAAAGAAATATAATTTTTACTGCAGTCGTTTATATTTTTAATTTTAATGCAATTTTAATTTTTCAGGTTTTTAAGCTAGAAATTGTCTTTAAAATTGCTGCTCCAAAACATATACTGAAACCCTCTCGTGTTTACTGAGATGCACTAAAGCAATTGTTTAAAATTAGTTATGTATCTCTTAAAAAAAACATTTGCTAATTTATAAACACTTTTTATATTATTTTTCCTTATAATAACTTTTGTTTAAGACTATAAAATAAATAAATATAAATGTAATGCAAAAATTATGTAGAGGAATCATTTAACACTTTTCCTCTTTAAAAATAACAATTTATTTATTTTTGAAGACAGTTACATTTATTTTAAGACCTATAAAACTCATTACAAACCATAAACTGCCGGTATTCAGCTGCCTATTTTCACTCACTCTAAAATAGAAATTAAAAAAATGTTGCAACCCACCAACAAACCACAGCCATTCGTCTCTTGCCGTGCTCATATTTGACCACTAGAGGCACTGCTCTTTTCCAGCACTCATTGATAGGCGGGACTTAAGACAGAATCGGCCAATGAGCGGTCAGAAATCGTCGCAGTCCCCCTACCTTCCAGCGGGCAGTAGGGTGCTGCTCCTCCGTTGGACACGTACTTCAGTCTGTTGTGGTAATGTCTACCTGTGTGACCGATGTGATAATATTTCAGTAATTTTGTAACGTTTTCTAACGTTAGTGCAGACTGGTTTCGTATCCTGCAAGATGGAGCCAAAGGCTAGTGACACGACCGCAGGTAAACACTGCATTACTATAGTAAAAGAGTGGCAACAAGAAATAGTATGGATAATAGTATCAAAATACAGTACGTTGCATAATTTACTAAATATACTTTTAAAATACATCTGATTATGTTAGGATTACATGTCTTCCGGGTGCGTATGCGCATTAATTGTGTAAATGTATAAGGATGTAGTCTGGTTTGTTTAGTTTGTATCGAAAACAAAGTAAGTAGTTATTGATTAAAGTGTGATATGAAGTTGCTTATTTTCGCCTCAAGAGACTGAATGGGAATTTATTTACTTTGTTTCAAATAGTTTTTTCCTATAATTCTTTCAAGATGCTTCAGATGAAAAGGGTAAAACAAGTTGGTAAAAAGTATCACCATACTTTCTTGGTTGATTAATTAGGAATTGCAAAACATATCAATACAAGTTTCTTAAAATGATAAATCATAAAATCTGCTTATACATTTCTAGTACAAAAATTGGATGGCATCATGTTTAATATTCTTGTTTATTATTATTATTATTATTTTTATTTTTATATAAGAGTCAGGGGGGTTTGGGGGATCTTTTTCATCATCAAATTTTTCATTAATTCAGAAAACATTGTGAACTACAAAAAAATAAATCATCATTTTGTTTTGTTGTATTAAAAACAATAATATAAGTGCAACAAAATAAACACGTAACAAATTTTATTTACAAAATACTGACTTTTTATGCAAAAGTCCAAGATTTAAAAATTAAATTATTAGGTACTTGAAAAACAGACAGGAGAAAATAATGTATAGCTAATTTCAAGTTATGTAAACAATAAAAATAATTAGAAACATTTGATTAATTATTTAAAAGGATTCCTAAGAAATGTATACTGTAAACTTATTTTAGATCTTATTAAAAGTCATAACATTTTATCATCTTGCAGTCTTTGAGATATTAACATGTTTCAATGATTCACTTCCGCAGGTGCTTCATATGTCGAATCATCTAAATCCAAGAGAAGGAACAGTAAGGAGATCAAACAGGCGACTGTGGCCCTCTCCCAGCAGATCAGCACCATGAAGCGTCTCTTTGGCTTTGAGAAGGAAGACGTCTCATCGTGGGATCGGTTTGTGTGTCTTCTCAATCGTCCCACTGATCCGGCCTCACTTGGGATTTTCCGTTTCTTATTTGGTGAGTCCTCCTTTATGACTTGACATATGCGATTATTACAAATGTAGTGATTCTGGATTGTGGGTCAGGTGTTAATATGTGCTGTATTTTCTTACAGGTATGCTGATGGCTCTGGACATCACCCAGGAGAGAGGACTGAGTCATCTGGACTACAAGTATTTAGATGGGGCACCAGTGTGCCGCTTCCCCCTCTTTAACTTCCTGAAGCCGCTTCCCATGGACTGGATGTTCTTTGTGTATTTTGTGATGTTCCTTGGTGAGTTTGCCTCTTTAGAAAAAAAACAAAACAAAAAAAAAACTAAACAAAGCAAGAGTAACCATTTACCCTAGTGGCCTTGATTCTGGAAGTTATTATTTTTACATTCATTTTGTCCATGGGCTCTTTTAATATTCTTAAATAGAATGTATTTTAGTATAGCATTGTTTGTTTTAAATCAATAATAAAGTATAAAAACTATACAGACATTTATAATAATATTCATGATTATAAATGCTGTATAAATAGCGTAAATATTCATTCATTCACTCATTTTCTTTTCATCTTAGTTCCTTTATTAATCAGGGGTCGCCACAGCGAAATGAACCGCCAACTTATCAAGCACGTTTTATGCAGTGGATGTCCTTCCAACTGCAACCCATCACTGGGAAACACCCATACACTCTTATTCACAAACATGTAGTGGACAATTTTAGCTTACCCAATTCACTTATAGCGCATGTCTTGGGATTAAATAGTGTTTTACATTAGTTGAGACAAAATTATACAATTTTAATATTGGCCATTATTTAGTTACAGCCATAACATGAAAATAATCACCAGCTTGGGCAAGATTGGAGAAAATGAATCGGATTTCTTAATTTTACAGTAGAAACGTACATCAGTCACAAAACTGACTGTCCACTTGCTTTTGTTTTTCAGGTGCTGTTGGTATCATGCTTGGCTGCTTTTATCGCATTGCCTGTCTGATGTTTATTTCCGCTTACTGGTATATTTTCTTCCTGGACAAAACAACCTGGAACAATCACTCTTATCTGTATGGACTCATCGGCTTCCAGCTCACGCTCATGGATGCCAACAGATACTGGTACTGGTCACCAAAATTTGCTCAAAATTATAAGAATGCCATTGCATTGCATGACAAAATAAAACAAAATCATTTAACTTGGCCAAAATAGCACTTTACAATAAAATATTGTCTTATCACAGGTCAGTAGATGGACTCAGAAACCCGAGGAAGAGGAACGCTCATGTGCCTCTGTGGAACTACACTTTGCTGAGAACTCAGGTCAGTTTGTTTTTTTTAAATCAGGGTTTGTAGATTAAATATTGATTTCCTTAATGTTCAGAATTAAAACATGTATTATATTTATTTAAAATTATATAGGATATGCAAGAAAAAGCTCTAAATTACAGTTCTTTTTTTTATTTCAATGAAATGTCTTCTGTAGATTCAAAATAAAACTAAAATCACGTTTTACTCAAACACAAAAAAATAAATAATAAATCCAGAGCCTTTTCAAGTTGTCTTGATTTTCTTCACAGATGTAAATAAAAGGATGAATAGACGGTTAATGTTATTGTCTTCGACAGATTTTCATAGTGTACTTCATTGCTGGGGTTAAGAAACTGGATGCTGATTGGGTGGAAGGATACTCCATGAAATACTTGGCACATCATTGGTTATTTGACCCTTTCAAGTAAGTGTATCATCCTCTGACAACATCTGCATTAGCACGACATTTAGGGCTCTATTTTGACGGTCGATGCGCGAATGCATTTAGAGCATGTCAGAATCCACTTTTGCTAATATAAGGACAGAAATATCTGCTTTGCGCCGTGGAGCACGGTCTAAAAGGGTTGAGCTTTTTTTCTGAATGAGTTATAGGCGTGTTTTGAGAATAAACAAATCAGAGTCTCATCTCCCATTCCCTTTAAGAGCCACGTTGCGCCATGGTGCATTTGCTATTTACATAACATTAAGTAAGTGGAAAAACTGACCATTTTACTAGCAAAAAACAGTTAAACAGAGCATCTAGAGCGCGAGAATGAGAGATAAATTATTCACTTTTACTTTCACACTCGTGGATAGGGAAACCTTGTAAGCACAGACATCAATTAGCCTATAAATCAGGGGTCTCAAACTCGCGGCCCGCGGGCCATTTGCGGCCCTCAGTGCAATATTTTGTGGCCCGCGCCGACCGCTGTACACTGACAGAATCAGCGGAGCGGATCCGTACACAGCGGTCACTGGCATTCCCCGCCCGCCGTGTAAACAAAGGGGCGGGGATGCCGGTGACGTCACCACGCACCCCGCTTCTTTGTTAGACGCTGTGACGGGCGGGAAGTGACGGGAGGGAACTCGCGCCGGCCAGAACCAAGGTAAGCTGTTCCCGCCCCTGCCTGCCACTTAGCTACCTATCTGCAGCCTGCCACCAACCTAGCTACAGCCTGCATCTTATATATATTATAGGTAGATACAGACTGGTACAGATTGATGTGACTGGAGTGGGGTGGGGGTGTTTTATTTATACATATATACGCCTTTTTTTTTAGGTGAGGGCAGGCACGTGCACGCATAGGGCTCAACCTGTGCAGAGCACATGCCCTTTTTAGTCTTGGATAGAAAGTGCCCTTCCAAAATGATCAAAAGTGCCCCCGCGACGCGGCACACCTTCGGTTCCGCCCTTCAGTAGGCGCGCGACAACACCGCTCTTGAGTACGCGCGCGACAACACAGTTGATCAGTACGCGCGCGATAACACCGCTCTTCAGTACGCGCGCATCCACTCTGCAGATCTCCCCCCCCCCCCCCCCCAAGTTCCATACTTAGGGTCTCTACTGCTTCCGCTCTAAAGCCAAATGTGGTTCAGATTTGTGAGAAGAAGCGCTGTCAAGTCTCTGGCAGCAAGGAGTAGGCAAAAGATGCCATGTTCAGAAGAACTGTTCATAATCTTCACTCAATGTTCTATTAATGTTCAGGACACTTCATGTTCAGAAGAAATAATTAAAACTGTTAATAATGACATTTGAGGACTTTTTTTTTTGTGAAATCCCTTATGCGGCCCAGCCTCACCCAGACTTTGCCTCCTGCGGCCCCCAGGTAAATTGAGTTTGAGACCCCTGCTATTAATAATTAATTTATTTGTTAAGCACAAATATTTGTTTCAAAACTATTTCTAAATTCGGTTCTAATTTCCAGCAAACGAATTAATGAACAGTAATAATGAAGTGTGGTCAAAAAACTGAGTTATCCTCATTTGGTCTAAAACCTGACAGGTGGGCAAATCTAAGCTTGTTTTTAATAAAACAAATATAAAAAGCATATAATAAATAATACTGCTAATTATAATAACGTTATACAAAAGCAAATTGTATTAAATGAAGGCATGAAGGCATGAAGGCAGTACTTCTTATATTTATGTAGGTTAGAAAATAATGTTTTGTAACATTTTAATCCTTTATATTTATGTCCTATATAAATTCTTATTAAATCTTATTTATATCCTTAATATTTTAATTATTTTTCATTTGTAAAGATATTTGCGTATTGCTCTACATCTTGTGTGTATTAAGCAGAGTGTAGGAGGAGCACAACTACAGCGCTCTGCACTGGACAATAGGCCGGCTTTGTTCTGGTCTGTTAAAAAATCTATTATAGTTTCTCAAAATAGCAACGCGCCAGCAATACACTTCAACACGCCACCCTTTTTAGACCAGAATGCCTTTGGGTGCACATACTATATGAGCGCAAATGAATTTGCTATTTAAACAGTGTGTCGCAAAACGTCAAAATGACTCTTGTGCCAAGCTGAAACTAGCAAACAACAATTGCGCCAGGTGTATGATAGGGCCCTTAGTAATTATGGATAAGTATTATGTTTTGATTCTTTTTTCTTTGTGTTTCAGAGTGATCTTGCCTGTGGAAGTGGTCAGTCTGACGGTGGTCCATGGTGGAGGTCTGATCTTAGACCTCACAGCTGGCTATCTGCTTTTCTTTGATGTCACTCGTCCAGTCGCCATCTTCTTTGTCTCCTATTTCCACTGCATGAATTCCCAGCTTTTTAGCATAGGTAAAGAATCATGAACAAACTCACAGCAAAGTAATTTTTGCATGTTCAGTTATATGTTATAAGTTATATTATATGTACTAGGCCTGGGGGTTATGACAAAAATCTCATATAACGATACATATCACAATGTTGTACCATTTCTGTAAATTCAATCAAATAGTTAAATATAGTTTATATTTTAATGCGTATATATACATACGCACGCACGCGCGCACACACACACACACACACACACACACACACACACACACACACACACACACACACACACACACACACACACACACACACACACACACACAGTTGAAGTCAGAATTATTAGATTTTTTTTTCTTTTTTAAATATTTCCCAAATGATGTTTAACTGAGCAAGGAAATTTTCACAGTATGTCTGATAATATTTTTTCTTCTGGAGAAAGTCTAATTTGCTTTATTTCGTCTAAATTAAAAGCAGTTTGTAATTTTTTAAAAAACATTTTAAGGTCAAAATTATTAGCCCCTTTAAGCTATTTTTGTTTTTGATAGTCTACTGAACAAACCATTATTTTACAATAACTTACCTAATTACCCTGATCTGCCTAGTAAACCTAATTAACCTAGTTAAGCCTTTAAATGTCACTTTAAGCTGTATAGAAGTGTAAAAATGTAGTAAAATATTTTTTACTGCCATTACGGCAAAGATAAAATAAATCAGTTATTAGATATACACTTTTGTCAAACATGGCTGCATGTATGTATATATATATATATATATATATATATATATATGTATGTATGTATCAATGTATGTATGTGTGTATATATATATATATATATATATATATA